CCTTTTATGTTGACTTTCTGGTAGCCATGGAAGTCTTTGGATGATTCTTAAAACCAAGCCCAGCTCTGGAAAAAATTACAAAGTGGACTCTGCAGGATAAAGCCTCTTCAAACAGAATCAAAGGAACTAGACTTTTCAATCCACTTTGTTACTCTGGTCAAGGAAGAAAAGGAGATCAAATTATTGATCACTGAATTCCCAGTGGCTTGCACTGTGCTCATAAGTGTTCATTGAACCACTCTGAAATCCATGACAACTGCCCATGTTTCTCTCCTAGAGGTGTTTGCATTTTTAAGAGGAATCATTGAAGAAAGAAATGCTTAATTAAAAGGAATAATAATAAGATAGAGGTAGAATTAGATTGGAAAGGTATTTGGAGCACTGCAGCCTTCTTGGTTCCTCTCTAGGTTAACACTCTGCCAAGCCTGCTTAGGACCTTCTTTAATAGGAGAATCTCTTCATCTAGATTTTAGCTAGCGCCTTTCCCATTCCTCTAGACTGTCAACCAGCCTCTTCAAAAATCCATATATCTTGAAGTTCCTGCAGGTTCACGATGAAATTTCAAACACTAAAAGCTTGAATAGTCACAGAGAAAATTATACAACAATGGAAAAACTTGATGTAATTTCTGGAGACTCACTAAAATCCATGTATGCTGAAAACTGGCCATATTGATCATAATATTTAATATTATACCTTCTTGGGTTCCCAAAAGTCAAAAACAGAATTTCTCTCTATAGCTCACACTGAGGACAGCTCAGGAGCTACATTAAAAGTACAGACTTCTTAGTACTTGTGGCAGGTTATATTTTCCAAAAATGCCCAAAACCATGTTTCCATTTCCACATGCTCTTCCAGAAACTTGCCACTCTCCCATTAAGAGGCATCTATGTTCCCTCCCCCTTGAACCTCAGTGGACCCTTTCAACTGCCTCAAATAATAGAATATGCCAATGGAGACTGCATAACTTGTGAAGCTAAGACATAAAAGGCAACCTAGTTCCTACGTGGCTCACTTGCACACTCTTGCTCTCCACTCACTTTGGAGCCTTGAGCTTCCATGTAAGAAATCTAGACCACAGTGACTTATCACCTCACACCTGTTAGAATGGTTATCAACAAAAAGACAAGAAATAACAAATGTTGACAAGGATGTGGAGAAAAAGGAACCCTTGTGCACTGTTGGTGGGAATGTAAATTGTAAATGTAAAAAATAGTATGGAGGTTCCCCCAAAAATTAAAATTAGAATTGCCATATGATCCAGCAGTCCTCTTCTGGGTATATAGCCAAAGGAAATGAAAACAGTGTCTTGAAGAGATATCTGTACTCCCATGTTTATTGCAGCATTGTTCACAGTAGCCAAAATATGGAAACAACCTAAGTGTCTGTCAATGGATGAATGGATAATGAAAATGTGATACACAAACACACACAATGGAATATTCAGCCATGAGAAAGAAGGAAATCCTGCCATTTATGACAGCATGAATGGACCTTGAGAGCTTTATGCTAAATGAAATAAGACAAAGACAAATACTGTATAACCTAACTAAAACAGCCAAACTCATAGAAACAGAGTAGAAAAGTGGTTACCAGGGGCTAGAGGATGGATGGAGGAAATGGGGAGCTGTTGGTCAAAGAGTACAAACTTGCAGTAATAAGATAAATAAGTTCTAGGTATCTAACGCACAGCATGGTGATTACAGATAACAATACTGTACTATATACCTGAAAGTTGATATAAGAGTAGATCTTAAATGTTTGCACCACAAAAATGAAATGGTAATTATGTGACATGATGGATGTGTTAGCTAAGACTACGGTGGTAATCATATTGCAATATATAAATGTATCAAATCAACATGTTATACACCTTAAACTTATACCATGTTATATGTCAATTATATCTCAATAAAGCTGGAATTTTTTTTAAAAAACTCTATCTACCTTGAAGCTGCCATACTTGAGATACCATGGAGAGGCCACATAACAATAGAGAGAGACACCACAGGAGCCCCAGATTTTTTAGTGTTCCCAGTCCAAATGCCACACATATGAGTGAGCCTTCAGATTATTTCATTCCCAGCCACCATCTTACTATAAACATATGAGAGACCCCTCCCCGCAGGAAGAACCACCTATCTGAGCATAATCAACACTTAAATCTATGAGATAATAATAAAATGATTTACATCATTTTAAGCTACTAAATTTGAGGGTCATTTCTTCCATAACAACAGGTAACCAGAAGAGTATTTATATTATAAAGTGGTTGCCTCAGGTAGAGTGTGAAAAGATTAGTCCCAACTATTCACAAATATACACCAAAGAATAAACTCCATTATCTATACGTATTTATATGTGAAAACTAACCTATACAGTACAAGGATTCTGATTCCAGTTACCACAGAATAATCACACTCAACCCATTCTCTCCCACTGAATGCAGCTACAAAATCTGAACAGAATGTATGGAGCAACTATTTGGGGACTCTTAAACATAAATTGTACCAGGTAAATTGAAAACAAACACAATAATTTGAAGTATAACAACTGGCAGTGAGCTTACCATTTTTTTCCTCCAGTAGACACTGGACTGGACTTAAGGTAGCCCAAAACCCAGAAGGGGGCATCAACATGGACAGAGAGCAACAAGAAGTGCAGGAAATTGATCTAATGTTCCGAGAAGGTAGGAAAGTACTCCATTTTTTCTTTTTTCCATTCTCTCATACTCTAGCCAATAAACAATCCCCCTATGACAGCTAAGTCAACAGTGACAAGGGATGGAACAGTGACTCAAGTGTTTAAAATGCTAAGGAAGAGGGGAACTCTCCTCTTTGTTGGAGTAGCTGTGGTCTCAAGACAGTGGGGCAAAGCCCCGTTGATATATTTTATTCTCTACCTGTCCTCTTGCAGCTTGGCCCCAGACATGTATAAAGTTGCAGAAAGTGCTTGGCAGAGAGGAGCAAGTAAAGACTCATGTTTCTTGCCAAACGACCAAAAATGGGAACTCCAAGAAACTGCAAAGTATCAAGGAAATTGTGGAGAAGTTGTTTATGAACTCCTAGGTTCACCTTGACCTGCATTTGGATCTGATCTTAAACAACATCACAAAGACTGAGATAACTGAACTAAATAGCAGACACAACCCAGGTCCTAGACTAGCCATGGATAACACACATGTAAGACAGATATAAATAGCACTGCAAAAGTTTTGAGAACTTCATTGACTTTGGAGCCAGGATTCACAAAAGGCAGGTCAGAACTTGTGATCTGGACCCCACCATGTCAACTACAAGCTAACACAAATATATAAACATTACTCTGTGGAATTAAAACAAGATTTAAGATCCAATAGCATAATATTAAACATGTCCAGGATACAAACCAAAATTATTCAGCATGAAAATCTCAACTGTTGATTGTCCATCGAAGAGGCAATCAATAAACACCAATGCTGAGATGACACATGACACAGATGTTTGAACTACCTAAAAAAAAACTTTAAAGTAGGTGTTATAAAAATGTTTCAGTGAGAGCAAACAATCTTGAAATGAATAGAAAGATAGAAAGTCTCAGCAAAGGAGTAAGATAGAAGAAGAAGAACCAAATTGAAATGATATAACTGAAAAATATAATAACTGAAATTTTAAAGGTGATTATGTGGGCTTAATAGAAGAATGAAGATGAAAGAGTCAGTAAATGTGAAGATATATTAATAGAAGTTATCTAGTCTGAGCAACAGAGGAAAAATTGAGAGATAAATGAACATAGCCACAAGGACCTGTAGGATAATAACAAAAGATCTAACATTCATATCATTGGAATCTCATGAC